TTGTTGTTGTTGTTGTTACCAGCTTCTAATCATATTGCACAAAGAAAAAACCGTATGAGATTGAGTATTGAGGATTCATACTGCCGGCCCCAACTAGCTTGGGATTGAGGCGTAAATGCAAATGTCCCTATGATGCTCCTAATTCTTTCACGGTTTCTTTTTCTTAAAATTTAGCTCAAATAACAGGTTCCCAATATGGAAACATTCAATTTCCTACTTTGGCAAAAATAACAAAAAAATCAAACAAACTATAAAAATTAACAATAAACCAAATCAAAGTTAGATATCACTACTCAATAACCAATGATATATCATCTCCAAAGTAAAGCACAAACAGTAAAATAAGAACAATAATTACTTGAAAACTCTAATATACATGTTACAGATCATATAAACCCTAGTAGTTTTCTAGGAGGCAAATCTGATCTCTGATCTAAAAACAAGAAACTAAGCAGCTTAATCAGAAGCAACAAAAAAGAAGTTTATTTACCTTGTCATTAAACGTATCGGCTGTGAGGGTAATGACTTCAGCTCTGGCGATAAATATCGAACTTAACAAAAAGATGCAACACAATAAGATAAAGGCAAATGGGAGCGTACAGCGTTTCATCGTAGCACCAGAGTTTGATTCTGAAAATCGAAATTTTTCCAAGTTATTGCTTTGAATTTGAAGCAGACTGGGGACAAGGAAGAATTAAAAGGAGAAACGGGAAAAAGAATGAAAGGGAAGGATGTCTGGGAATATTTCCAAAAGATTATGGGCCATTTTAATTATACTGTTTCTTTCGTGGGTGAACTTCACTTTCGAGTTTGATCCCTTTAAGTTTTGACTAATGAAAAAAAGTACAAATAAATTATTTGTCTTTTACAGCTTGTTTGGATGGTTGTTATGTATCACTTTATAATGTATTGTATCATATTGTATTGTATCGTTTTAATGTATACAATATTTGGATAGATCGTATTCTAAATAGAAAATTTTAATTTGTTCACAATACTAATTATATCCTCTGTGCTAGCAAAGAAATATTTTATTTGGACTAATAATTTATTTATTTGACTAATTTAATTATCAAATACTAAAGCAATTAATCCTTTAGCAAAGATCAGAACACTTGTTAGTGTGCGACCCCATAGGTTCAATACTAAACAGGTAGTAAATTAATCATATCAATATATTAATCAAGGGTGCATTCTAACAACAGTCCTTAACGACCAGATAGAATGAAGTATACAATTTGCTCTCAAGAACCGTTAGAAGAATAATGTAGTAATTCTTTCTGTCCTTTTAGCTATGGGTCACCCTAGGATATGGTTCAATTGTCAATTCCTAATAAGCGACCAACTATGTGTTCATGTCAAACATAATAGACCATTGAATGACCTAAGAAACTCTTTTCTTCTTTCATTCAATTGCCTGGCCAAGGTCTTAGTTTGGTCGTTTATAATTCACGACAACATGGAGCTCAAACTCATTACCAAGAGTTGACATATTCCATCTTGATCAATCACCAACTCTACAAGTATTTAATCATACCCAATATCCTTTCAACTATCGCTCTAGCGCCATAGGTGTCTAGTATCAAAGCACAATAATTAACTTTTCAATTAATGTGACGATCTCAAGTCAAAGAAAATTCTTACATCACATTTTTCAAGAGAATATCCTATTGACAGTTTATGGTAATTCTAATCATTAGAAATTATCCAATGAGTCGGTTCAATGATCATATCTCTATATGCATCATCTATCAATGTAATTTAGTTAATGAGATCAACTAATCTTTATCCCATAAAGACGATCACATAAATATTGATCTAACCGCATTACTAATGTCCAAATTAATAATCCTACTATCAAGAACAAAATTTAGATTAAATCGTAAGAGACTTTACTCTCATTATCATGATCTCCATCACGATGACAACTCTCAAAATTTAATTAAGGACCTTATTAAATTAATTAAGTAATTAATAATAACTATGATAAAGAATATCAAATGCCATATTTTTTTTTATATCAAATAACATTTACAAAATTATGTTCAAATCACCAAAAATGAGATTGGATCTAGGACATATCTATTATATCCCTAACATAAATCACACAATCTGTATCAATCAAAATATTATTTTTAAAGTTAATAATTCCTTTTTTTTGTTGTTGAGGCAAATGATATATCCATGCATGGATGAGGAGTGACCATCCAAGTTATTCCTCGTATTTCAACTCAACTATATTATTATTGTGAGAGAAAGAGGGATGGCGACTTTCTGTACTGATAAATGGCCAAAGGTGCATGATTTTGAGTGTATTTTATCTCATTTGTCGTGTGAGATGCGGGAGATTACATGATATTTGAAGTGAATTATACTCATTACGTATTTCTTATTTGTAGGAGTGAGCTTGAATGATAGTGGAGCAAAAGATATCAAATTATTACAAAAAGGAGAAAAATGGAAGGATTGGGAGCTCGTCTGGCACGAACGCGGACGCGAAAAAGGAGAAAAGTGAAGGCACAAAACAACGAAGTGAAGGAAATGCACGGATCGCTTCGCGAAATGAAAGAATTTCAAAAGCTGAATCTGCGTCCATGGGCGGGCGACGCGCGAAGGCAGACGCGGATTTCAGCTTCTCCCATCCGAAGTTGGATTGAAAAGTTTCGCCCCTCATAAATACATCAAAGAACGACTTTGTAAGGGTTAGACAACATCTATGAAGGCAAGAACAAGCAAGGAGCAAGGCGGAAGATTGGGAAACGAGTTTTTATCTTTCTTCTTCCTTTTTCTATTATTGGTGATGAATTTTTATATTGTAGTTATGCAAATAATTATGAGTAGCTAAACTCTTTATTCTAGGGTTTGATAGAACCTCTTGGAGGATGAATTTTTGTTGCGTTTAATATAAAAAGTTTGCCATTGGATTTTCTCTACTTATTCAACTATGCGATTATTGTGGTTGATTGAAGGGCCCTCAATTGACTATGCCTATTTAGTGTGCATTACTTGGAAAATGATATATATTTAGGTAGTTGTTGAACAATATCACTCCTAACGTATATGAGGGATCAATACTGAGGGTTTAGAGGTGGGATTAGGAATAACGAAACCTTGGTGTGAACTTAGTGAGTGATGAACTAATGCCAACTAGCGTAGTTCGGAAGAATACGTCTAGTAAATAATTGTAGTTGCTCGTAAGAGAATTACACACCTAAAGTGCTCACAATCGGTAGAGAATATCTAGGCAAATTTATAGGAGATGTAGCGGGGAGGATTCCGATAAGAGGGAAAATCGTAACCCTAGACCTTTCCAATCTTGTCTACAACATTTGCTTTGGTAGCAATAAGATTACAGCTTTTTAATTACCTTGCTTTTAGTTAGTAAACACTCAACTCATTATTCAATATTTCTGGAAGTTGATTACTTGAATTCTTGCGTAACTAGAAGTTGTGATTAGCAGGTTAATTCCTTGTGAGTTTCGACTCCGGGCTTGTAAACCGGATTATATTTACAACGATCGCTTAGTCCTTTTTATAAGGCATAGTTGGGCGTGATCAACTTTTAGCGTCGCTGCTGGGGAATTAACGGTGTTATTAATTACAGCTAGAAGAATTACTAGGATTCTAAGTTTAGTCAATTTTCTTCATTTCAAATTCATTATATTGAAAGTTTTGTAGTCGTGTGTGTTACAAGTGCACGCCTAGGAACTCTTCAAGAACTGGTGAATTGTCTGAAGCATTACTGGATCATGAGAAAGATTTCAAGGCATTAAATCATGCAAACAAGAAGGACAAACGACAACAAAACCTACAGAACAGATCGAACTAGACATGGGGGACGTCATAGACGACCAAAACAACCAAAATAATGTGAATGACCCGAACAATCAGGGTGTGGCACCTCTTGTTCCTGAAGCGGCCTTGTATGATTAGGCACAACCGACCGCTGAAAATCTGGAAACCAGAATTGCAATCCCTCATATACAAGCGGAATCATTTCAAATCACAGACAACATGCTATATCTGCTGCAGAACAAGGGAATGTTCAGGTCTTACATTGAAGATCCACAACGGCATCTGAAAAACTTTTTGTCAATTTGTGTCATCAAAGGCAACCGAATGTGACACCGAAAGCAATCAGACTGTTATTATTTCCATTCTCGGTGACTGGAGAAGCTCAGTCTTGGCTTAATTCGCTCCCCATAAACTCCATCACCACTTGGGAGGAATTAGTCAAGCAGTTTTTGAACAAATTCTACCCACCCAATAAGACTGCCAAGAAAGTTGATGAGATATTAAGCTTTAGGCAGAAACCAGCTGAAACACTACAAGAAACATAGGAAAGGTTCAAAGGGATACTGGTTAAGTGTCCACATCATGGCATTCCAGATCAGATGTTGGGACAAAGGTTTTACATGGGATCAACAGATAGCTTTAAGGCCAACGTTGATGCTTCAGCAGGTGGAGCATTTTTGAGCAAATCATTTAGAGAGTGTAAGGTCCTGCTAGATAAAATGCCTCAAAACTCAGGATAGATGACAAGAGACACTACAGTCACTCCTGTAGTTCACTCAGTAGCTTTGGACCCAAACAACTCCATAGCCGAGAATATGGCCACTCTTATGACTCAAATGAGTATCCTCACCAAGAAGATTGATGAATCAGGCCAGAAGCAGGTATACATAGTTGACACGACTAATGGGGGCTTATGTACAGCATACATTAACCAACCATATGTGTGCTCGTGGAGTGGTGAAAGTGACATCCAGAACTATCAGGAGAATATAAACTATGTGGGCAATTATGGAGGTCAGAGGCAAGGTGGTCAGAATTGGGGGCAGCAGAATCAACAGTATAGACCAGCACAACAACAATACAATAACAACAACAATTCTGGAGCTTTGTGACCACTGGATCAAGTCATGCCTTACCAAAGGCAATAGGGATACAATCAGCAAAATCAACAGCTAACTTATCAACAGCCTCAACAACAACAGATAATGAGACAAGATGATGGGTTGTCTGAAATTAAAGGAATGATGCAACAAATGATTCGGTCCAATGGAAAAATACAAGAGAAGGTTGAAGCACATGACTCAATAATAAAAGGCATTGAGATTCAATTAGGGCAGATATCTATGGCTCTGAATAATCGTCCCCAAGGGATGTTACCTGCGGACACACATATCAATCCGAAAGAGCAGGACCTGAAGCATCTTATGGCGATGAGTCTAAGAAATGGTAGAGATCTTGATTTGGAGCAAGAGATTGCTCGTGAAAGCCGACCAACTAAGATACTTGTGACGATACCAATTGAGGTGGACAATTCAACAAGGTTAACAGAGTTAACGGTACAACATGCACAAGAGAAAACAAGCAAAGAAAAAGAGGTTGCAAATGAGACTGAGAAAGTGCAAGAGACGTCATCAAAAAAAGTGCCAGAGCAAGATCTAACTCAGTCACATGAAGGAAGCGACCTCCAACACCCTTCCCGCAGAGGTTGGCTAAATATCAGAAGGTCGAGAAGTACAAAAAATTCATGAAAATGTTGAAGCAGATTTAGGTAAACATTCCTCTCATTGATGCTTTGAGGGAGATGCCCGGTTATGCAAAAATGATGAAGGACTTGATGTCTCGTAAGTTCGACTTTTAAGACTTGGCAACTGTGACATTGACTCAGACCTGTAGTACTATTGTGACAAGACCTATAGCTGAGAAGCTATCCGTTCTTGGAAGCTTCACAATTCCATGCACCATATGTAGCTATGCATTTACCAAAGCATTGTGTGATTTAGGGGCAAGCATAAATCTGATGTCATTGTCTATCTATAAAAAGTTAGGCATTGGAAGAGCAAGGCCCACATCCATGTTACTACAGCTAGCTGATCGAATGGTGAAAAAGCCATCAGGTATACTTGACGATGTACTTGTGCAAGTTGGGAAGTTTGTGTTTCCGACAGATTTTGTCATTCTGGACTGCCAGGTTGATGGGGAGATTCCCATAATTTTGGGAAGGCCGTTCTTGGCCATAGGAAGAGCTCTGATTGATTGTGAAACTGGGAGCTGAAGATGAGGCTGAATAATGAAGAAAGAACATTTAATGTGCAAAAGTCTATACGGCGACTTAGTGAGTTTGCAAATTGCTCTTTGATAGAAGTAGTGTATGTTATCATGGAGGAAGATAATGAGGCACTTAATGCAAAAGACCTTCTAGTAGCCTGCCTCATGAACTCAAAAGAAGTAAATGGTGAGGACTTGGCAGAATGGGTGTTGTCTCTTAAAGGCCAAGGGTACTGGAAAAGAGAGCTCGAATTCGAGCCTTTACACTTAGAAGAAAGAAAGACCCCTCCAGCTAAGCCATCGATCGAAGCGCCACCACAATTGGAGTTGAAACCACTACAATCTCACCTCAGGTATGCTTTTTTAGGACCTAACTCGACTTTACCTGTTATTATCTCATCTGGTTTATTAGATGTGCAGGTAGAATAGCTTTTGCAAATGTTAATAGAGTGCAAGACTCCAATTGGTTAAACCATTGCAGATATCAAGGGTATCAGCCCGGCCTTCTGTATGCATAAGATTCTACTGGAAGATGGGCGCAAACCTCCCAGAGAACGTCAAAGAAGGTTGAACCCCAATATGAAAGAAGTCACGAAGAAGGAAGTGATCAAGTGGTTAGATGCGGGAATCATTTCTCCCATCTCTGATAGCAGCTGGGTTAGCCTATTTTAGTGTGTGCCAAAGAAAGGTGGAATGACTGTTGTGCAAAATGAGAACAACAAGTTGATCTCAACAAGAATGGTCACGGGATGGCAAATTTGTATGGATTACAAAAGATTAAACAAGGCCGCCCGAAAAGACCATTTTCCCTTTTCGTTCATGATCAGATGCTAGATAGATTGGCAGGGAGGTCCCAGTTTTGCTTCTTGGATGGATACTCGGGGTATAATCAGATCTTTATTGCCCCGGAGGATAGAGAGAAAACAATTCACATGCCCATATGGCATTTATGCTTTTCGGAGAATGTCGTTTGGCCTATGCAATGCACCCGCCACATTCCAAAGGTGCATGATGGCCATCTTCACAGATATGGTAGATGACGTAATGGAGGTTTTCATGGATGATTTCTCAATGGTGGGGAACTCCTTCGATGACTGCCTTAGGAATCTGAAAATAGTGCTGAAGAGATGTATGGAAACTAATCTGGTGCTAAATTGGGAAAAATGTCATTTCATGGTACAAGAAGGTATAGTCTTGGGATACCTAGTGTCAAGTAAGGGCATTAAGGTGGATCGTGCCAAGGTTGATATAATAGAGAAGTTGCCATCACCCACTTCCGTCAAGGCAATAAGAAGTTCCCTTGGCCACGCCGGTGTCTGCAGCCTATTTATAAAAGATTTTTCCAAGATTGCTAACCCTTTGTGTAGATTGCTCGAAAAAGATCACCCTTTTGTGTTTTTTGATGATTGCATGGTAGCTTTTGAGAAATTGAAGAAGAGGTTGGTGTCTGCATTTATCATAGTTGCACCCGACTGGGAGTAGCCATTTGAGCTGATGTGCGATGCAAGCGATTATGCTGCGGGAGCAGTGCTGGGGAAGCGAAAGGAGAAGGCCATGCACCCAATCTACTATGCAAGTAGAACCCTGAGTGATGCCCAACTAAACTACATAGTGGCTGAGAAGGAGATGCTAACAGTAGTGTTCGCATTTGACAAAATCAGGTCATACCTGATAGGCTCGAAGGTAATTATTTATAGTGAACATGCTTCTCTCAGGTACCTAATTGAGAAGAAAGATCCAAAGTCGTGCCTGATTCGATGGGTGCTGCAACTACAAGAATTCAACTTGGAATTCCGTGATCGAAAGGGAACGGGGAACCAAGTGGTGAATCACTTGTCCAGGTTGGAAGGAGCGGAGAAGAAGGTCGAGGTAGAAGAGATCGTGGACACTTTCTCGGATGAACAATTGTTGGCCACAAGCCTTGAGGTAGCGCCATGGTATGCATATATTGCAACTACCTAGCGAGCGGTATAATCCCCATGACCTAGCCTCTGTACAAAAGAAAAAGTTCTTACGTGATTGTCGCATGTACTTTTGGGACGAGCCTTATCTGTTCAGGATTTGTATTGATAACATGATCCGGAGATGTATTCCCGAGATAGTCCAATCTTCTATTTTGCAGGCTTGTCATGCATCTCCATATGGTGGCCATTTCGGGGGAGTAAGGACAACTGCGAAAGTGTTGGAGTCGGGCTTCTACTGGCCGACATTATTCAAAGATTCACACTTCTGGGTGAAGGGTTGTGATGAATGCCAACAGACTAGGAATATTTCCCGCCGACATGAGATGTCCATAAACCCAATTCAGGAGGTGGAAGTGTTTGATGTATGGGGAATCGATTTCATGATTTTGTCAGCTCATATGGAAACAAGTACATACTCGTAGCTGTGGACTATGTGTCAAAATGGGTGGAAGCTGTGGCACTCCCTACAAATGATGCAAAGGGGGTCATTATTTTTTTGAGAAAGAATATATCCACCCGGTTTGGCACTCCAAGGGGCAATAATCAGTGATGGAGGCACTCACTTCTGCAACCGAGCCTTCACAAAGTTGTTAGAAAAATATGGTGTGCGCCACAAGGTTTCCACACCATATCACCCACAAACGAGTGGGCAAGTAGTTCGAACAGAGAGATAAATAGTGTTTTGACAAAAACCGTGAATGCTACAAGAACAGATTGGGCGAGAAAGTTAGATGATGCACTTTGGGACTATCGTACCGCTTTCAAAACTCCAATTGGCATGTCGCCTTATAAATTGGTATTTGGGAAGGCGTGTCACTTACCCTTGTAGTTGGAGCATAGAGCTTTGTGGGCATTGAGGTAGCTGAATCTCGATATGGAAGCTGTGGGTACAAGTAGAGTCACATAGTTGAATGAGCTTGATGAGTTCATTACCATGCTTTTAAGAGCACAAGACTATACAAAGAGATAATGAAGATGATGCATGACAAAAATATTCTTGAGGATTTTAAACCTGGAGATGTGGTATTGCTATACAATTCGAGATTGAAGTTGTTTCCGGGCAAGTTGAAGTCAAGTTGGCCAGGACCATTTTGTGTGGTAGAGATGCATTCAACCGGACCTGTCGAGATTGCATCGAGAAGATGGCTCCCGCAAGTTCAAAGTTAATGGGCAAAGATTAAAACATTATCAAAGCATGGTTGAGGAAGATAAAATGATCTCGACCTTGTATTTGAAAGATCCTTGATAAAGGATAGCCTGAGTCATGCCGCGATGTTAAATCAGGCGCTTCTTGGGAGGCAACCCATGGTTTTGTTGTAATTCTCCGTGTTGCGATGTTAAATCAAACGCTTCTTAGGAGGCAACCCAATTTTGTATTTTTCTTTATTTTCCTTGTTTGATTTGGAATTGTGGAAGCATTGACATATTTATGAATGTTGCAGGAATGCAATTGTGCGAAATAGAATGACTTGGGGTGATCACGAGAAAATGCCAAAAGTGGCTAAATTCAAAAAGCTAGAAAAAATGACCAGCACTAGGCTCGTCTAAATCCGCACCTCGCATGAAAGCATACGCGGTCCCAAGCCAGCCAAACGTAAAAAAACAGTAAAGTCCGGTCATGGCATGACTGACTTCGCGAAAATTGCAAAGAAAAAAAGGACAGTTTGGCCACGTCTGCGCCCGCACGCTGCAGGCTCGTGGACGAGCCAGCCTTGCAACCAGCTTTCGCAGGCAATGAACTGAGCCCATCGCGCGACTCGCTGTGCGATTTTTAAAAAGAAACAATTATTTTCTTTCTTTCTTCGTTCGTTTTTTTCTTTTCTTTTTAGCCGTCCAGGTTTGTCCTTTTTTCTTTCGTTCTTTCTCTGTTCCCCCTCTCTATTCCCATCCCACAAAGCCCAAACACCCAAGCCCTCTCCCTCGTTCCCTCACTTGTCCCCCATTGGTGAGAATTTCCAAACCCTTTTCTTTTATTTTCTGTTTTGCCCCACCCCACGTAACAGCCCCCATTTCATCCTCCCTTAGGTAGTTTTTCTTTCTCAAACTTTGTAAAAGAATTTGTGGACTTTGCCCGGCGATGGATTGCCTAGACAGTTTTCTTGAGGGTTTTAAGTCTAAAAAAAATACAAAAAGACTTTTTATATTTTCCCTTGTTTGTTTTGAACTGATATTGGAATGGGAAGAGATTGAGTATTGTGCTTCATGACATATTTTATATTGAGGCATAGCCTAGAGCATTTGTACTTAGGACTTTCCTCGTAATTCTTATGAGTATGTGCCTTGAGAATATATGTGACTTTACTCTGACTCTTGGGCTCATCTTTTGACTCAAATCATGTACTTTCTATATGGTTTAGTTTTATGATGATTGTGATTAGTTGCTTTAACTTGAGAGTCGGGTCTGAGCCGTCTTGAGTAGGTCATATGCATTGTGCGAGATGAGAAATTTGAGTTGTACTTTGTCCCATCTCAGGCTAGTCTAGAAATTGCCCCGTGTGTGAGTCGAAGCGTAATGATTAAGTATCATTAGGCTAGGAGATGATATAGGCATTTCTTTGATTGACCATTTAGCCACTTTTGTCCACTAGTACTAATATTATCCATAGTCAACCCTTTTGAGAGCCTGTAGACCCTTTCCTTGGCACCCACATTACAAGCTAAATTTCCCTTGTTCTTAATCAAACCTTGTTCTCCCTTTACCTCCGAAAGCACTTAAGTCGCAAAAAGAGTAAAGAGAGAGATCGGGTAGCTTTTGGGTGGAACCATAGGAAGGCCGAGAAGGCGCGTGGTGTTTAAATGAATTACTAGCTGGAAATACCAAAAGTAAGGGGTGTGTAAAAAAAAAATTGAAGTACACCTCCCACATATTGATCCGGGCTAGTGAGCATCTACGTGATGATATGCTTAAATAAGAAGGGCCTAATTGTGTATTGGTTCGTGGCATGACATTGACTTGGTCGTGATGAGCAGGTGTTTGAAAGTGAAGTGTACAGTATTAAAGTGCTTAGGAGGGATAGTCAATATTTTTTCCAAATATATCCTA